CCCCAAAACCCCAAAACCCCAAAACCCCAAAACCCCAAAACCCCATTCAACAATTATAGAATGGCAATTTACTTTCAAATAAAGTGAAATTAATATTTCATAAACTTGTTTACTTACGATACGCCTTTGTTTGATAAAGCTTCTAATTTCTTCCCTCACTCATTAAACTTATTTTTAAAAGTGAATTCAGAAGTTCTATCTACTAATTAGTCCTTAGGATAGGATCTTTTAAACCCATTATTACTCTAACTGCTATCACTGTAATTAAGAACCTGTGCTCGTACCTAATTATACCCATTATGTGCTTTACGATTGCCATTTACACTCTATTTATCAGATACTTTTTTCTAAGTAGACATAGTGTCAGGAGTTTTGAAAGGTGTTGTGCGGCTGTCATCTGGTTAAGTACTCTTATTGGGTGTCTTAGATTTGGACATTGAATGAAGATTCTTATTTGATTGCTGCTACAGTTTTTAATCTGATTTAAAAACGAAGGAGTTGCTTGCTGACACATTTTTATTCTAAAATGGGGATGATACCTAGTTCTGAATTATCATGCTTTGTTCATGTTGTTATTTCTAAATTAATCTGTTCTTAGAAGGCTATAATCAATTAATGATGAAAATTACTTACATCCCTATTAGCTACAATGATATCAGCCTCCCCACTGTACTTGCCAACTGCCAGCACACTTCCTAATACCTATCTCTATTGTATTTATCTAACTAAATCTCTCTCCTGCATCTTCTCGATCTTACTCTGGCTTTTCTACCTGTCTTTTTATTTCTCCTAAAGTATCATCTATGCTTTGACAATATGCTTTGATTCAACTTTTTAAACATACTTCTTTTCCTTGTCATCTGCTTCAATTCTTAGCGCAACCTCTATACTTTCTTATTCTTACTGCTTTATTCTTTCTTTCTCTGCCTTCAAGTATTCAAGTCTCTTAGTAATTTACACTTTTAGATCACTCGACAGTCGCTTCAAGTCATTGTTCCTCTAGGATATCTTTTGCTCATCATCACAAATTAGTGGTCGATTATCTTAGTTCTGCATTACACATTTATTGTCGGTGTACATATCATTTTAGAAAGTTTTTATCTGAGACCGGGAACGAGATCTTGAGCCTTCACGGGCCTCAAACATCTTTTTCCGTGGATCTCCAGTCATTGTATCTATAATGGTATCATTTATTCTTTCATCATTCATTAATTTAGATTTCTCATTCTCTCTGCCATTTCTTTAATTATTGAACAGTTATTAGGCAACCATGATTTTATTTTCTTCCTGCAACTTCTGCTTCTATTCATGAGTCTTTTTAGCATTATCCTCTCCTATTATATCTGCAAAAGACTAAGGTTCTCTAACATCTTATAAATCAACTGTATTGCTATTTTGTTATTTCATCATTACCTGAGCCACTCTCAATTATTGTTGCTCTAGTTACTGTTGCTTTTGTTTGTAAACCTCCATATTTTAGTCTTTTCCATAGAAATCTTCATTGTTTGTCTTCCCTTTTGGCTTGCTAAACAATGGCTCCATTTACTCGACCTTTGTATTTTTAGCCCTCACGGTTTGAGATTAATTCTCATCCTTAATTGGTGTTTAAAATTCAACTTTAGATTTCTTAGTAACAGGGGTCTAGGATGCATGAAATGACTGTGAGATAGCTTTTGACATTATTTATGGATCCTCTTGCTCAAAGTAAATTTAAGTCTTTTGTTTTTAAGGATTAATAGTTTATTGATGTGCTTGTATTCTCTATTCCGGCTTTGACACGAAACTGACTCCTTAACCATAGGATTTCAAATTGTTATCTCCGAAGTCAGTATCATTGATATCTGCACTTTAATCGAATACTATTGGGTTTTAAACATCAATATTGAACATCTTCTTATGCAAAACGACTCTCTAGGGTGTTTTTTCGGTACCACTGATAACATTGAAGCTACTATCATTTCTTTTATTCGCTCTACTCTTCGATCTTTCTCTATCCATTGACTAATCATTACTTTAATCTTCAGTTTCACCTTAATTATTCAAGATTGTCGATTTACTCTGATCATTACCGTATTTCCCGTATCTTTTAGTTGCTTATTAAGTCATTAACTAGTCTTTGTCCAAAGGATCACGAGTAACACTATTATGAGTTCTAGCTGGATCAGCTCCGTCATAATGCTCCAGCACCTTACTTAGTACTGATTGGTTCTTTCTGTTCATACTAATACTCTTTCTTTGATTTGATTCCTCATCTTAATCAGCTTTTCCACTCATAGCTCCATAGACACCAATAGAATTATTCTATTTCATTGCATGTCTGTTTTTACTTGGACTTACACTTGCAGATTTAGTGCCATTAGCATTAATATCTGACTTTCTAAGTTGAACATCATCTATATTTGAGTTTTTGTCCTGAGTGATATCAAATATGATATTGCTCTCATTTTTCTTGTTACCCATAGCTTTCATCGAATTCTAATTGCTCAATACTTCGTCATAGCTTTGGAAAATATTGCTTTCTTATCGGAGCATTTGATAGGTTGATTTACTATGTTTAATGCTTGGTTACCTTGATTTTGCTGAGTATTGCTATGCAACCTGATTTGAAGATTGGTATATATCCTCAGAATTCAGCTATTGCTAGGGAATGGTAGAATTATTAGCTATTTAGTTATTATTGGCATATTTATGTGTGGAAGCACTTTTCCCATTTCTAGGTTCCTTTTTAATATCTGAATTTGACCTTAATCTATCATCCTGAGTTTTCTTATTTTAATCTACATATGTTTGAATTTTGTTATAATATATACTTTTGAAGATCGGACCATTGTTCTTTCGATCAGATTAAATAGTGGAATCGTTGCCAAAAACTGCCTAAATTGATATTGATCAATAAAGTGAAATAACATATGATCAACTTACCTTGACTCCTACTGAATCTTTGTTATTAGCCATCAATTCTTTGTCTACTCTGACATTCGCTAGTATAATGTTAACTTCCAAGTGATCATACCATCTTAGAGAGTTGTCACTTTTGGCTTAGAGTGGTTTACTGCCGAAGGAGGCCTGAATGCATCATTGACTTTCATTTTTACGCAAAATTTTATTTCACTTCCTTTAAATAAAAATTAAATTTCTTTAGAATTAAATCTCGTGGGGTTTTGGGGTTTTGGGGTTTTGGGG